ACCACCCCCACCCAACCCCCCACCCCACCCCACCCCCCACCCCCACCCATGTTGCTCTCCCTTTCAGCTACAGGTGGTGAGAGCACTGAGCTCGCCCTACCATTGTGCGCGTACTCGGGCATGCCGCGGTCGCCAGGAGCCCGGCCCGTGACGCTCGAGCCGCCCGGGCTGCTCTGCGGCGTATGCCGGACCGATCTCATCACAGGCGGTCCGCAGTCGACACTGGAGGAGTTGGAGCGGCCGCCGTGCTCGTGCTCGCGCTGGTCGTCGGCATACGCTGTCTTGCTCGACACTCCGCCCAAGTATGCCGCCCTTCCAACAGGCATCCTCGAGTCGCTGCCACGGCTGACTACCCTCGCCCTGGCTGGCCTCCATCTGGCAGAGATCCCGGCGTCCATCGCCTCGTGTCCGAACCTCATCCATCTCGACGTTTCACGCAACGCCCTCACCACTCTTCCGCCCGAAATCATCACCTTGACAAAGCTCCTCGTCCTGCGCGCAGACGCCAACGATCTTAGCGAGCTGCCGGCTGGCCTCGGAACCTTGACCTCGCTGCTGGAACTCTCGCTCTCCGACAACCGCTTTGCCCGAGTCCCGCCGCAAATTCGCGCCCTCACCTCGCTGCGCAAGCTCAATCTGGCCCAGAACACCATCGAGTTGCCGCTTCTACCCGATGATGACGACGCGCTTGCCGCGCAGGTCGAGCTCGACGTCGCCGCTGCGCTCGCGGCTGCAGCTGACGAGGCAGCCGCGAGCTCGGGGCTAGATCCGCCAACCGAGGCCCTCTTTCCGCCGTCGCTCGAGGTCCTGGACCTCTCGCTCAACAACATCTCGGTCGTCCGCCTCTCAACCCCCTGGGCCGACGCCCTGCCTGCGCTCCTCAAGCTCAACCTCTCGCACAACGTCGGCATCGAGACCGTGGCGCCGCTCTTCCCGCCACCGCCGCAGCTCAGCATCCTTCTTCTCGCCGGCACGTCCATCCCATGGTTTCCCGGCCAGCTCGCGTGCGCACTGCCCAATCTCCGTGCTCTTGACCTGGCCAAGACCCCGCTCACGATCTTGCCTCGCGCCGCGCTGGCTCTCATCTCACTCAAAGAGCTCTCGTTCCAGGACGTCATGCTCCACACCTCGGGCGAGGTCTCGCTCGACTTTAGCATGATCTTCCTGTTCCAGGCCACCGCCGCCTGCCCGCATCCGCTTCTTGTCAGCGCCCTTCTCGAGTTCTGCGTCTTTGCACGCGATCAGCTCCACTTTAATGTTGTCCGTGCCGGTGTTGGGCCTGCTCTTGTGGCCATTCTGCACACCGCCGCCGAGAATGACGCCGCCACACCGCAGACTGTCATCGCAAGGACGCTCGAGCTGGTCCTCTCGCTCGTAGATAAGGAGACGTCCAAGGTCCAGCTACTGCACGATGGCCTCGCCGGTGCCCTCCTCGCCGTCCTCCTCGCTTCCAAGCCGTCATCACAGCTCGTCTCACTCGTTGGCATAACTGCCGCCCGAATCGCCGAAACCTCTGCGCCGCTGACCCGCCACACCCTCCTCTCGGCCAAGTACGGCGGTCCGCAGCTGCTGCGCGCACTCGAAAGCCGAGAGGCCACCGCGACCTGGGCCCACGAGCTCAACGCCTCGCTCACTACGCCGGTCATCGAGGCCGGCGTTCTCCTCGTTCAGCCAGTCAAGGCCATGCAGATATCCGGCTCCAATGGGTCGCGGCCGTACGCGCCTTACGTCTGGCTCAAGGTCTTTGAGGCTGCGGTCTCGTCAAAGTCCGATTACACCGGCGGACACAACCCGTCATGGAAGCCGCCGTCTTCGGGCTTCCGCTTCGGCATCGCCGTTACCGTCCCTCACGCCGCCACACTCCAAGTTCGCATGTACGACTACCGCCTGGCTTCGCGCGACATTCCGCTCGGCATTGGCTTTGTTGAGCTTGGCCCACTGCTCTCGGGCGAGCCGGCCGAGGTATGGATCAAGCTCGTGTCGGGTACCGCGCCGCCAGACCTGGAACAAGTCCGTGCTGCTGCCGCCGCATCCACAGCCGCGAGCTCGACGGCTGCCGTAGGCGCTGGCGGCGAGTCAGGCGAAGCTGACGAGCGCGCCACGTCGCCGGTCAACACCACTACGGCCTCGCTCGGCGCGGCGACGCCTGTCTCGGACCGGCTCCCGCCGGCGCCGTCGATGCACTCGCTCGTCGATGGCGTGGCCCACTCGTCGCCGCCGCTGTACTCTTCTGCAGCAGCGGCGCAGGTGACGCCGTCCAAGCTCAAGCTCATTGTTCAGTTTGTGCCTCTCTCCCGCGCTGCGCTCGATGCGCTGCCGACAAAGGATAAGCCCAAGCCGAGCGCCGGCGCCTGGAAGCTGCATCCGGTGCCGAAACGCGCCGAGATCGCGGCTCTGGTTGAAGCTGAGACCGCAGCGGCAAGCGCAGGTGCCGACGCGGCGGGCGCGGTCCCTGCGTCGCCAGCCCAACCACTTTTTGGACGCTTTCCCTCTCTCGGCGACGCGCTCGGCGGCGACGTGCGGATGTATGACAAGATCTACCTGGCGCTTGACGCCGCCAATGCGGTGTACTACGGCGACTCGGCCGATCGATTCATCCACCAGGACATGCTCCATGCGGTTCAGTTTTCAACGAGGGCGTCGTCGCAGCGGTACGCGCTCGTCGATACGGTACTTGCCGGCGAGCGGATGCTAGTGGTCGCCTTTATGGGCACGTACTCGCCGGCCGACGTTGTGGCTGATCTCGATCTTGGCGCCGCGCCACTGCTTCACGGCCGAGTCCATCGCGGCATCTTCCGCCGGGCATGCTCCATTCCACTCCTCAACCTCGCAGCGCTGCTTCGGCAGCGACTGCGGCTGCGGCACCGCCGGGTGGTGCTCACCGGGCACTCGCTCGGCGGCGGCGTCGCCGTCCTCACCTTTCTTCGACTCGCCACCGAGGCGGGGCTTACCAAGGCCGAGCTCGAGCGAGTCTCAGTCGTTACCTTTGGCCAGCCGCTGGTTGGCGACTCTGCGCTGGCGGATTGGATGCGTGAGACAGGGCTGGCGGCGCGGGTGACTGCAGTTGTCAACGCCGGTGACCTTGTGGCATCGATCACGCTCGCGTCTCCGCAAGTCGCCGCTGAGTATCTGCTGGCGTCAACGGCGGCGCAGCTCAAGGCCAAGGACGCATCAGAGGCGCTGGTGGATTCGATGGTCTCGTCGCTCTCGGCGCGGTTGGCACCGGCGTTTGTCGAGTTTGCGCCGGTCGGGACGTACTACGTCGTCGCGCCCGACGCGGTTGAAGCGCTCGTGGACCCGCGGGCAATCGAAGATGCGCTTGCGCTCCCCTCGCATCTCACCCGCCACCATCTCGACCAGCACGGCCTGCCGCAATACTTTGACACGCTGTTTGCGCTCCGCGGCGGTGTCGATCCGGCGGTGTCGACCTCGCGCGCGATGCGGTGGGTCACCTTTGACGCTGCCCGCGGATCGGGCTCACCGCTCTCGCCCGGGCCAGTTGGCACAGCCACACAGCGCGACGGAGCAGGGGCACCTGCTGCGACGCCTACAGCCGCGGCAGTCGACCACAGCGCCGGCGGCTTTGAGTCGCTCATTGACGCCGAGTTTGTGGACGTCGACATCGACGGAGCGACGAAGCGCAAGTCAGGCGGCGCGAGTGCCAGCAAGAACAGCACGGCGTCTGCCGTTGCACGCGACGCGATGGACGCGCCGTTTGCGCCCACAATTTTCAAGGTCCGGACCAAGTTTGACGTCTTTGCGCGTGTCATCGAGGTCCAACTGGTCGGCAGCCGGCTCTCGGGCCTGACCAAAGTCAAGTTCCGCGGGGCGGGGCTCGAGTACCCGCTGCTGGCGTGTAGCGAGACCCATGCGCGGTTCCGAATTGCAACGGTGCCCGAGGTGCCGTCGGCCAACTGGGCGGCGCTGACGCTGCGTGCCATCTCGCACTTTGGCGAAGCGCGGGCGCGGCTTGCGCTCGGCGCGTACGTCAACTCGATGTTCTACGCAGCAGACCTTGCGGCACGCGAACCGCGGCCGCAGCTCCACAATCGGGTGGGCGACGGCCGTGAGCTTCCAGGCATTTCGCTCGCAGTGTCTGCCGAGGGCGTGCGGCGAGCCGTTCATGCGCTTGTGGCGGCGCTCGAAGATCGCGATGTGTTTGAAGGCCTTGTGCGGTCGTACGTGTTCTCGGACATGTTCCAAGAGCAGCTGGCCGAAGCATCGGACATTGAGATGCTCCCGTCGATTGTCAATGTGGCGGCGGTGACCCTGCCTCGGCCGAGGGTGGAGCTCGACGCGGAGCGCAATGTGGTCCGGGTCGGGTTTGGCGGCATCAACATCAAGCTCGAAGTCGGCTTTGCGCGGCTCAAGCTCTCGCAGTATCTCGAGTATGCCGAGGTTGGAGCCGAGATCGAGCTGGTTAACCTCCACGGCTCATTCTCGCTGGCGGTTGGGGCCGGCGCCGACGGCCGACAGGCGTCTGCAGCAGCGTACACGGTCGACCTCGACGACCTGGAGGTCAAGCTTGGAGCCGAGCTGTTTGGCAGCGACGGGCAGCAACTAACGTTCAAGGAGAAGTGGGGCTACTCGGCGTCACTCTTCCGGCTCTTTACCGGCTCGATGCGCGGGCTGTTCTTGTGGATCCTCGGCGGCGCCTCGCTCAAGTCGTTCCTCAAGTCGGAGCTAGAAAACGTGCTAGTCGATTCGTCGACGGCGCGGATGCAGTACGGTGACTCACACGCGCTGCTGGTGGATTACTCTTTGACAGCGCCGCCCGAGCTGCTGCCTGACATGGGCGAGAGCGAGGGACAGGCGGCCAAGTTTGCGACGGCGCACGCCGGACGCATTGTGCTTGAGGGTTTTGAGGCTGACGCCGCGTACGATGCCGTTGCTGCGCCGCTGCCGTTTGATGGCATGCTGGCACGGGTGCATACACACGACGTGATTGTCTGCATTTCGCCGTACATGCTCAACACGGCGCTAGTCTCGGCCTACCTTGCCGGCTGGCTCGGAGTCCGAGTCCTCGAGCACGAGGTTCCGCCTGAGCTGCGGCAGCTACTCGCAGCCGATCTCGGCGAAGGCGTGCCATTTTGGCTGCGAATTACTGCGACGGCGCCGCCTACAATAGTACTCTCGCGCGGGCTGGTCAAGCTTGTGGCGTCATCGCGGCTAGAGGTGCACGTGGACGAGTCGGGCGCCGCCGTGCGCGAGGCCGACATCCCGTTTGCGGCGGCGGTCGATGTCAGCTCGCTGAGCGTGAGTGCGTCGGGTCTGGAGGGACTCGATGCACTCAACCTTGTCGACGCCCAGGGCAAGGGCTTTGCCAAGGCGCTGGCGGCGGTTTCTGCCGAGTGGGCTAGCGGGCTTCGTGAGGTCTACGCCGCCAAGGTGGTGCCTGCGTTCTCGCGGACGCTGGCATCGTCTGGCGTCGGATCGCTCAAGGTTGTGCAGAGTCTGCCGCGGACCGAAGGCCGCGTCTATGTCGACGAGACGTGCGTGTGCGTCACGTTTGAGGTCCCGGACTTTGTACTCGACGAGGCGCAGATCACAGAGCTCAAGACGTACCTCAAGGCGCAGACTGCGGCGATTGACTCGGGCGCGGCGGTCGATACCGGCCTCAATTGGCTCGAGTCGCACGTGCTTTCGTTCATGCGGCGGCCGCCGGTGGGAGAGTGAAACATCGAACGACCATGACCTTGCACAAGTACATTTGTTGTGGCACACAGGGTAGGGTAGAGTAGGGTAGGGTAGCTAGGTAGGTAGTTAGAAGAGACCTCATCAGTTTTGATCCATGAGGATGCCACGCGAGGGCGAGCCGACGGGCGAGCCGGCGGAGTTGTTGAAGGCCTTGGAGGCAGCAGCGCGGAGCGAGGACGAGAAGACCAGGGTGTCGTCATCGTCTTCAGCACCAAACTCGGGCTCTGGTGCGGGCGCAACGTCCATGTCGCAGACGGCCGACGTGGAGATGGAGGCGGCCGGGCGGATGCTTGCGGCTGACGCCGGGTAGCTGTTCTCGCCATCCGAGTCGTCCGAGTCGTCCGAGTCGTCGTCAAAGGCGCGGATGGCAGCAAACTTGCGGCGGAGGGCGAGGGAGATGATGTCGGCCTGGGTGACGGGCGGCTCCGAGTCTGAGCGCGGACGGGTCTTCGGCGTGCCACCAGGCGAACGGTCACCGACGCGGCGGAGCGAGGCGGCCTTGGACGAGAGCTCTGACTTGATGCGGTCCATGAGTGAGGCGCCAGTGTTGGAGCGGCGGCGCTTGGACGACGGCGCAAGGTCGGCAAGCTCCGAGGCATCGGCGACCGGATCGCGCATGTGCTTGCGGGTGCGGGCGCGGGTGATGGGGCCGGATGGCATGGGCGGCGGCGGCGGGGGGGCCGAGGTCGGGGCGGGCGCGGAAGTGGAAGACGGGGCCGGCGGAAGCGGCGGCGGCGGCGGCGGGTAGGTTGTCGGGCGAGCCGACGGGCCGGCGTCGGCCGAGGCCGGGACAAGCGGCGGCGGAAGGACCGACGAGGCTGCGGCGGACGAGTCGTCGATGAGCGACGGAATGAGAGCGGCACCCTCCATGGCCGAGGCCATGGCCGAGGACAGCGACGCCAGCTGAGCCTCCAGAGCATTCATCTGGTCCTGCGACGGTGGCGGCGGCGGCGGCGGGAGCGGCGTCGACGGGCCCGAGGTGGCCTGCGACGCGACCGGCGACGCCGGAGCCGACGCCGATGCCTCTAGCGGCGGCGGCGGCGGCGGGAGCGGAACCGGCAGAGCACGGATAAAGGTGTGGGTCTGCTGGTGATGGCGCTGGTACACGCCACCACCGGGCGCGAACGAGCCCGGCACAGCCTTGGGCGTGGGTGGAAGCGGCAGAGCCGACCGCCCAGCGCGCCTTGCCTCGTTGGCCTCGTTGACAGCAGCCTGAATGGCCTGCGCCCGCGGATGCGGGTTGCCTCCGCCAAACAGCAAGGTCTCGGAGACGAGCGGCGGAATGGCGGCAGAGAGGACGTGTCGGAAGCCGGCGTATGACGGAAACGGATCAAACGAGTGCATGGTGGCCGTGGCGTCGGTGGAAAAGGCCGACGAGAGCGCTGTCCGGAGCGAGGCCATCGACTCGGTCGACTCGATCCAGTGCGGCGGAAGCCCGAGCTTGGCCCCGAGCCTGCGGAGGAAGTTGCGCTGCCGGATTTCCTTCTGTAGTCGGGAATAGGAGAGGGAGGGAGGGCGGTGAGGGAGGCGGTGAGGGCGGTGAGGGCGGAGAGGGAGGCGGAGAAGGAGGCGCCAAAGTGAAAGTGCGAAAATTCAAAATTTAAGATTCGGCGCGCCCACGCCACAACCTTCCCACCTGGCGAGGGCATGCGGGGGCATACGGGAGAGGGGGAGGGGGGGAG